ATATTTAGCTCAAAGCTAAATATTTAAGTCACAAGTTAAATATTTAGCTTGTTAATTAAATATTTAATTTGTAAGTTAAATATTTAGTTTATAAACTGTGACATTTATAAATGTATGAATCATATGTTGAAAACTGATTTAGAAAAATAAATCTGTATTTTTTTTCTTCTAAAAGGCTAAATAWAACAAAAATATTTGTGGTAATTTTTGACTGTGTAACTTCACAAACGGCAGCCCATATGTAGATGAATACTTTGTGAAGGGTCAATAAAATCTGCCAACTGGTTCAGGAGATATTTTTGCTAAAAGACTCCATCAGTTAAGGCAGTTTCATGCAAAGATCAAACATCTTGTTTTTCTAGGTCACCAATCAGTCTTTTAATTTATCTTAAAACTAAAWCAGTGATACTTTTTTTAGAAGTAAATTTGAATCACTTTCCTCACAAGCACAAACTTTTCTTATCTTCTCAACAAATGCATGCTATCATGCAATAAACCTTTTCCCACACATCTTTATGCTCATTAATGTTTATGAAAAGCTAATATTTTTTGTAGTCCGATACAAAATCAGCAGCACAACATGACGCTGCTGATTGATCAGGGCAGCAGGTGTTTGTCGTGAAACTTCAGAGCTTCAAAGCAGCAGCTGCTGAATCAAACTTGAAATGTTAAAGTTTGTGTGTGAAAGCGTACGCGTGGTTGTTGTGCATGCCTCTTGCACATTAGTGCGCGTGTGTTAGCGTGTGAGATAAATTACCACGGTACAAGGCGAACCGTCTGTCACCGAGAGCTGGATACTAAAGATGCAGTTTCTCATGCCCCAGAACTTTATACCCATAATCACTCGTGGTGATTAATAAATCTTTTTTTTCCACAACAGGTGGTTACGCTGTGTGTGTRTGAAGTCATGTCTATATTTTAATTTACAGTGAGGGCAGGGGGAAAAAACATTCTTGATTGAAGACTGTATTTAAAAAATGTGCACAGCAATAATGACCAAAAAATTTGTTAAAGTGTTTGCATTAAAAAAAAGCTCAACATTAGTTTTGAGTTGATGGTGTGTGCAGAGAGTGGGCTACACATCCCTCTCTTGTGAATGAGACCACCTGTATCGCAATGAGATTACCTGTCCAAATAAAATGTCAAATGTATGTTTTGTCGTAAGAGTGCTCTGGAAGTGATGACACGTTTATGTCTGAGTGAAATTCTGCACAAACGAAGACGAGCATGATGAAACAGGAGCTTCCAGCTGTTTTCAGTAAAAATTAATAAGTAGATAAATCTGATAAACTACTATTGTTGTCTTGTTGTCAAAACTGTTGTTAGGTAGGTGATCATGGAATTTCATCTGTGTCTCTATGTTTAAATGTTTTTTGTCATTAACCACTAGACAAGGGATGAGCAAGTGGTGGACCGCAGGCCGTTTGTGGCCTGTGGATGACTTCATCTGGCCACCCAAATAGGCTCCACCCCATTTTGAAATTCTGTAAAAGTATACCTCCCAATTTTATGTATTTTTTTTATTTTGTTATATATTTTAAAAAAAAATTTTTACGTTTACTATGAAAAGCAGCTGCTTTGAGTAATTTCATTTTGGTTAAAAATAAAATACATTTTTGGGAGGTAGACTGTGGAGAGCCGTTTCATTCAAAATACAATAAATAAATAATATAAAGACATGCTAAAAATGTATTATAATGTAAAAATTTTGTGTATTTGATGGAATATTTATTAATATTTAATTACATTATTTATTTATTTATTTATTTATGTATTTGTTTATTTATTGTATTTTGAATGAAATGGCTCTACACAGTAGACTGTTCACAGAATTTCAATTTCAGATTTTTTTCAGATTGTGTTTAGTCTGCTTAGAGATGCTGTCCGCCATGAAGGATTTTAATCTAAGCTGCCACTGCAACACGTTGCACAAAGCTAAATATGAAGTCGCACTTGCATAAGCAAC